AGGAGGAGGAAGAGGAGGAAGAGGAAGAGGAGGAGGAGGGAGGAGGAGGAGGAGGAGGAGGAGGAGGAAGAGGTATAACAACAGGCCATGTGTGTGTGTGTGTGTGTGTATGTGTGTGTGTATGTGTGTGTGTGTGTGTGTGTGTGTGTGTGGATCATGTACACATCAGCAGGGGCTCCTGGGAGTTTAGTGTGTGTGTATGTATTAAAAAATATAATTTTATATTTCATTCAGGCGTTAAGAAAAATATGACCAACAATACACAGTGTTATTGACCGACTGAGTTTTTCTCTTTTACTTAATGAAAAACAAAATGTAGTTAGTGAGTTTTACTACATGTAGGTGGTGGTTGTGTGTGTGGAGAATTTTAGTTTTAGTTTAACAAATTTATTGGCAGAGCTTGTAGTACAGTTTGCCTATTCTGAGTAATTCAGTCAGGTCTTGACACTGAGGGTGGTATCACTTCTCACTGCCACGCAGGACAGAGGTTCATACACAAAGAAATACATCATATTCATTAACAGCTATAAATGCATAGAGGTCAGATTCATATGGGTAATGTCACTGTTCACTGCCATGCAGGACAGAGGTTCGTACACAAAGAGATGCATCATATTCATTGACAGTACATATACATATATGTACACACACACATACACATATACATACATATCCATATATACATACACATATACATGTACATATATATATATACACACACGCACACATACATACATATACGTCGGTCAGATTCATGTGGGTAATGTCACTTTCCACTGCCATACAGGACAGAGGTTCGTACACAAGGAATGCATCATATTCATTGACACTATATATAGGTCAGATTCATGTGGGTAATGCCACTGCTCACTGCCACACAGGACAGAGGTTCGTACACAAAGAAGGAAATACATCACATTCACCAGCAGCATATATAGGTCAGTGGATTACATACATTGGAGTCATATTATTCTAATTGAAACTAATCGTGTAAGAGGCCAACAAATTTGATAAACAGCAAGAATGTCATCAAGCACACCTGATTCAATAAACTCAATACATAGTTCAAGATACATTAAGGTGAATTGGCACAAGTCTTTGATGATGTCACGTTCTAAATAATATAGTGTTCAAAGTGTATGCTTTAGGTTTATCACAAAGTTTACATGCTGGAGTGTTCGGTATGGGTACAGCGTTACTAACTTGCCAGATGTGTCTGTATCCTAGCCTAATTCTGGCCACGACTACATCACATTGTCTGGTTCTGTCCTTATGCTGGCCATACTGGTACCTCTTGTCACAAAATTTGTCATATTTACTAATGCTACAACTGTCAGGTCTCTCTGCATTTCGCACTTCTTCTAGATCAGAGTTCAAGATTCTGACTTGAATGTTTTTAATTACAGCATTGGACAGGCCAAGGTCGGGAGGTAGGAGCGGATGGGAGGTAGGAGGGGAGGTAGGGGGGAGGGGAGGTAGGAGGATGGGAATTAGGAGGAGGGGGGTAGGGGAAGGAAAGTAAGGAGGAAGAGGGGGTGGGAGGGGAAGGAAAGTAAGGAGGAAGAGGGGGTGGGAGGGGAGGGGAGAGAGGGAGGATCAATGCTCAACACTCACTCTTCAGGATATTTAACTTCTCTGTTGTCCAGCATGGTGAATATTTGGCCAAATGTTACAGTGAAGATTTTTACACCTCACCCGTGAGGCAGAACAGCTTACACCTCACCCGTGAGGCAGAACAGCTTACACCTCACCCGTGAGGCAGAACAGCTTACACCTCACCCGTGAGGCAGAACAGTTTACACCTCACCTGTGAGGCAGAACAGTTTACACCTCATCCGTGAGGCAGAAGAAGCTTACACCTCACCCGTGGGCAGAATAGCCCACACCTCACCCGTGAGGCAGAACAGCTTACACCTCACCGTGAGGAGACAGTTACACCTCACCCGTGAGAATCAGAACGTTACCTCACCCGTGAGGCAGAACAACACACCTCACCCGTGGCAGAGACAGCTTACAACTCCACCCGTGAGAATAAGAACAGCTTACCTCACCCGTGAGGCAGAACAGCTTACACCTCTCACGTGAGGCAGAATAGTTACACCTCACCCGTGAAGAATAAACGTTACACCTCACCCGTGAAAAAGACCGTTTACACCTCACCCGTGAGACAGAACATACACACTCCACCCGTGAGAAGAACAGCTACACCTCACCGTGGGCAGAACAGCTTACACCTCACCCGTGAGGTGGGAGCAACTTACACCTCACCCGTGAAGGCAGAACAGTTTACACCTCACCCGTGAGGCAGAACGGTTACACCTCACCCGTGAGGCAGAACAGTTTCACCTCACCCGTGAGAATCAGAACAGTTTACACCTCACCCGTGAGGCAGAATAGTTACACCTCACCCGTGGGAGACAGACAGTTACACCTCACCCGTGGAGCAGGAACCGTTTACACCTCACCCGTGAGGCAGAATAGCTTACACCTCACCGTGAGCCAGAGATGGTTACACCTCACCCGTGAGGCAGAACAGTTACACCTCACCCGTGAGAGGCAGAACAGTTACACCTCACCCGTGAGGCAGAACCGTTTACACCTCACCGTGAGGCAGAACAGTTACACCTCACGTGAGGCAGAATAATTACACCTCACCCGTGAGGCAGAACCGTTTACCTCACCCGTGAAATGAGACAGTTACACCTCACCCGTGAGGCAGAACCGTTTACACCTCACCCGTGAGAATGAGACAGTTACACCTCACCCGTGAGGCAGAATAATTACACCTCACCCGTGAAGCAGAACCGTTTACACCTCACCGTGAAGTCAGAATGATTACTCACCCGTGAGGCAGAACCGTTTCACACTCACCCGTGAGGTCAGAATAGTTAACACCTCACCCGTGAGGCAGAACCGTTACACTTCACCCGTGAAGCAGAACCGTTTACCTCACCCGTGGCAGAACCGTTTACACTTCACCCGTGACAGAACAGTTTACACCTCACCCGTGAAGCAGAATAATTTACACCTCACCCGTGAAAGGGAACCGTTTACACCTCACCGTGAGGCAGAATGGTTAACACCTCACCCGTGAGGCAGAACCGTTACACTTCACCCGTGAGCAGAACCGTTTACACCTCACCCGTGAGGCAGAACCGTTACACTTCACCCGTGAGGAATAGAACAGTTTACCTCACCCGCAGAAATGGAACCGTTACACCTCACCGTGAAGAATCTGTTTACACCTCACCGTGAGAATCAGAACAGTTACACCTCACCCGTGAGGCAGAACAGTTTACTCACCCTTGAAAGCAGAACCGTTTACACCTCACCCGTGAGGCAGAATAGTTACACCTCACCCGTGAAAAGAACCATTAAAATCTCACCCGTGGTGTGAACAGTTTACACCTCACCCGTGAGTAGAACCGTTTACACCTCACCCGTGAGGCAGAACAGTTTACACCTCACCCGTGAGGCAGAACAGTTTACACCTCACCCGTGAGGCAGAACAGTTTACACCTCACCAGGTGAGGCAGAACAGTTTACACCTCACCCGTGAGGCAGAACAGTTTACACCTCACCCGTGAGGCAGAACAGTTTACACCTCACCCGTGAGGCAGAACAGTTTACACCTCACCAGGTGAGGCAGAACAGTTTACACCTCACCCGTGAGGCAGAACCGTTTACACCTTACCCGTGAGGCCGTTAACACCTCACCCGTGAGGCAGAATGTTTACACCTCACCCGTGATCAGGTTTACACCTCACCCGTGAGGTCAGAACAGTTTACACCTCACCCCACCTACACCCGTGAAGGCAGAACCGTTTACACCTCACCCGTGAGGCAGAATAGTTTACACCTCACCCGTGAGGCAGAAGACAGTTTACACCTCACCCGTGAGGCAGACCTCACCCGTGACAGAACGTTTACACCTCACCCGTGACGTTTACACCTCACCCGTGAGGCAGAACAGTTTACATCTCACCCGTGAAGTCAGAATTTACACCTCACCCGTGAGAATGTTACACTCACCCGTGAGGCAGAATAGTTACACCTCACCCCAGAATAGTTTACACCTCACCCGTGAGGCAGAACGTTTACACCTCACCCGTTTTTACCTCACCCGTGTTTACAACCCGTGAGGCAGAATAGTTTACACCTCACCCGTGAAGTGAACCCCAGAATTTACACCTCACCCGTGAGGCAGAACATTACACCTCACCCGTGAGGCAGAACACACCTCACCCGTGAGGCAGAACGTTACACCTCACCCGTGAGCAGAACCGTTTACACCTCACCCGTGAGGCAGAACAGTTTACACCTCACCCGTGAGGCAGAACAGTTACACCTCACCCGTGAGGCAGAACAGTTACACCTCACCCAGGTGCAGTTTACACAACAGCCCGTGAGGCAGACAGTTACACCTCACCGTGAGGCAGAACCGTAGGGAACATGAACATATCATGGTACAAAGTACAGTGTAGGTAAGGTAGCACAAGTCATGGGTACATCTAGGTCACCATACAAGTGACACACACACACACACACACACACACACACATTAAACACTCTGTATGTTGTTGTAATACTTCCATCAAAATAATTACCGCTGGTGTAATGTGACGCACACAGTCAGCCCCCCTGTCGTCACCAGTCCACTAAGATTACCACGTTACAAGTGTAGGAAGATTCCACCCATCCTGATGACCCATACTCGCCCTCACCCATCCTAATGACCCATACCTCGCCCCCACCCATCCTGATGACCCACACCTCCCCCCACCCATCACGACGACCCATACCTCGCCCTCACCCATCCTGATGACCCATACCTCGCCCTCACCCATCCTGATGACCCATACCTCGCCCCCACCCATCCTGATGACCCACACCTCGCCCCCACCCATCACGACGACCCATACCTCGCCCTCACCCATCCTCATGACCCATACCTCGCCCTCACCCATCCTCATGACCCATACCTCGCCTCACCCATCCTGATGACCCATATCTCGCTCCCCACCCATCCTGATGACCCATACCTCGCCCCACCCATCCTGATGACCCATACCTCGCCCTCACCCATCCTCATGACCCATACCTCGCCCTCACCCATCCTGATGACACATACCTCGCTCCCCACCCATCCTGATGACCCATACCTCGCCCCCACCCATCCTGATGACCCATACCCGCCCTCACCCATCCTGATGACCCATACCTGCTCCCCACCCATCCTGATGACCCATACCTCCTCACCCATCCTGATGACCCATACCTCGCTCCCCACCCATCCTGATGCCCATACCTCGCCCTCACCCATCCTAATGACCCATACCTCGCCCCCACCCATCCTGATGACCCACACCTCGCCCCTCACCCATCCTGATGACCCATACCTCGCCCTCACCCATCCTGATGACCCACCTCGCCCCACCCATCCTGATGACCCACCCTCGCCCTCACCCATCCTGATGACCCATACCTCGCCCCCACCCATCCTGATGACCCATACCTCCCTCACCCATCATGATGACCCATACCTCGCCCTCACCCATCCTGATGACCCATACCTCGCCCTCACCCATCCTGATGACCCATACTCGCCCCCCACCCATCACGACGACCCATACCTCGCCCCCATCCATCCTGATGACCCATACGCCCCCCACCCATCCTGATGATCCATACCTCGCCCTCACCCATCATGATGACCCATACCTCGCCCCCACCCATCCTGATGACCCATCCCCTCTCCCCCACCCATCCTGATGATCCATACCTCGCCCTCACCCATTCTGATGACCCATACCTCGCCCTCACCCATTCTGATGACCCATACCTCGCCCCTCACCCATCCTCATGACCCATACCTCGCTCCCCACCCATCCTGATGATCCATACCTCGCCCCCACCCATCCTGATGACCCATACCTCGCCCCCCACCCATCCTGATGACCCATATCTCGCTCCCCACCCATCCTGATGACCCATACCTCGCTCCCCACCCATCAATTCCTTCCCTTTCTTTCCCTTCTCATTGTTTTTGTTTTCTCTGGTCTACACTGTGCCTCGCCCCCGCCCGCCTGCCTTAAACACTGTTCAGCAGGTCACTTGCCAGTACTCAGTCAGGGTGTACTGTAGGTATGAGAACCATCACACCAGTGGCACCTGACCAGCCAGTTCTCAGGGGACGATAGTGGTAACCCTTCCTGAGCTGTCAAGGGGCAATCAGAGGCGGGTGTGTGTGTCGGTAGACCCTGAGACGCGCCTGGTATTTAGGGTCACTTATATCACAGCATCTGGAGACGACGCGCTAGGCTGAAGGTATGTCCAGAGCCCTCAGGTAAGGGAGGAGGAGAGGAGAGGTGAGGTGTGAGAGGTGAGGAGGAAGGAGAGGAGGGACATACCAGAATACGTTAGATGTACACAGTCTCTTCCTTCTTCAGTGTGAGGGTACTGACAACACTGTGTGTGGGGGTACTGACAACACTGTGTGGTACTGGCAACACTGTGTGAGGGTACTGACAACACTGTGTGGGGGTACTGACAACACCACTGACAACACTGTGTGGGGTACTGACAACACTGTGTGGGGGTACTGACAACACTGTGTGTGGGAGGGTACTGACACTGTGTGGTGACAACACTGTGAACTACTGACAACACTGTGTGGGGGTACTGACAACACTGTGTGGGGGTACTGACAACACTGTGTGGGGGGTGACAACACTGTGTGGGGTACTGACAACACTGTGTGAGGGTACTGACAACACACTGACAACACTGTGTGGGGTACTGACAACACTGTGTGGGGTACTGACAACACTGTGGGGGTACTAACACTGTGTACTGACAACACTGTGTGGGTACTGTGTGGGGTACTGACAACACTGTGTGGGGGTACTGACAACACTGTGTGGGGTACTGACAACACTGTGTGTGGGGTACTGACAACACTGTGTGGGGGTACTGTGGCAACACTGTGTGAGGGTACTGACAACACTGTGTGAGGGTACTGACAACACTGTGTGAGGGTACTGACAACACTGTGTACTGACAACAACACTGTGTGAGGTACTGACAACACTGTGTGGGGACAACACTGTGTGGGGTACTGACAACACTGTGGGGGTACTGACAACACTGTGTGTACTGACAACACTGTGTGGGGTACTGACAACACTGTGTGGGGGTACTGACAACACTGTGTGGGGTACTGACAACACTGTGTGTACTGACAACACTGTGTGGGGGTACTGACAACACTGTGTGACACTGACACACTACTGTGTGAGGGTACTGACAACACTGTGTGTGTGTGTGACAACACCAACACTGTGTGGGTACTGACAACACTGTGTGTACTGTGTACTGACAACACTGTGTGAGGGTACTGACAACACTGTGTGGGGGTACTGACAACACTGTGTACTGACAACACCGTGTGGGGGTACTGACAACACTGTGTGGGGGTACTGACAACACACTACTGTGACAACACTGTGTGAGGTACTGACAACACTGTGTGAAACTGACAACACTACTGACAACACTGTGTGAGGGTACTGACAACACTGTGTGGGGTACTGACAACACTGTGTGGGGGGTACTGATAACACTGTGTGTCTGACAACACTGTGTGGGGTACTGACAACACTGTGTGGGGTACTGACAACACTGTGTGGGGGGTACTGACAACACTGTGTGGGTGACAACACTGTGTGACACTGACAACACTGTGTGAGGGTACTGACAACACTGTGTGAGGGTACTGACAACACTGTGTGAGGGTACTGACAACACTGTGTGAGGGTACTGACAACACTGTGTGAGGGTACTGACAACACTATGTGAGGGTACTGACAACACTGTGTGAAGGTACTGACAACACTGTGTGAGGGTACTGACAACACTGTGTGAAGGTACTGACAACACTGTGTGAGGGTACTGCCAACACTGTGTGAGGGTACTGACAACACTGTGTGAGGGTACTGACAACACTGTGTGAGGGTACTGACAACACTGTGTGAGGGTACTGACAACACATATCCAAACATTACATAAGAATCCTCCATACATGACTCACTATCACCACGAACCATCACAATGATATTCAGCAGCAACACCACATGGAGGGATGATGATAATGATGATGATGAGGATGATGATGATAATTGTTATAGCCGCTGGCTTAAAAATGCTGGTGTCAGTTGTTGACGATCGCTGCCCACCCTAAACAAACATTGGATCTCTCCCCCCCCCCACGCGGCCTGTGTGTGTGTGTGTGTGTGTGTAGAGAAAGGAGGGGTGAAAGAAGATTAGAGGTGGGGGAAGGAAGTTATAGTTCGGAAATTGAAGAAGTTTAGGAGGAGGTAAGAGAGGGCGGGCTGACCGCCTACCTAAGCTCATAGTTTGTTAGGGTTGTGTCATGGGTTAGTTATTGTCTGTCGGTACAGCACTAGACATCCTACCCTGTCCCATACATGGGTGCCTGTTGCCTCGTGAGATGTGGCGGCTGGGGGAGGGGGCGGTGTTTACGGATAAAGAGTTCCTGATTCTGCTGAATGTAAAGGGTGACGTGGCTCTCATGACACAGATCGCCCTCTCGAGTGATGCCCCTACCCGAACAAAGATTGGTGGGTGGGCGGTGTTTACGGAGAAGAGGTCCTGATTCCGCTAAATGAATGGTTTAAAACGGTGGCGTGGCCGCCTGGACTCCAGGAGATCGCTCACTCGAGTGATGCTGTGAGGACCAGTCCTCGAGTTATGCTGTAAGGAGCAGCCTTCTGCTCGCACTGCTAAACACCACACAATCCTGTCCAAGAATTTGTGCTGAGACAATTTACACAGTACTGTTGTCTCTTGGAACACCATACTGATCTGCATTGACCCGCACTTGTAAGTACAGCATAAGTGAAGACATACCCCTCGGTACTGAAATATTGTTGACTAATTACGTCTACTCGTTTCTGCCTAACCTGGAGTAGTAAGACAATGCAGAATGAAGCGAAGCTAAGATTAATAGAGTTATGAACTTTGCATCATGTCACTATGCTCAATAATCAATTATAATCAAGACAAATTGTGTGAGATTAACTAATTATGTATCAGAACGCCTTGTTCTCTGCAGGTTTTGACCACATCAGTAAATATCGAATGCGTCAACAGGCGGGTTTCAGTCATTCCCTTTGACTTGCCCGTCACCTGAACGTCCTCATTCCCAAGGCGTGTATAATAATAATAATAATAATAATAATAATAATAATAATAATAATGATGATGATGATGATGATGATGATGTGATGATGAGATGACAGATGATGATGACGATGATGATGATGATGATGATGATGATGATGATGATGATGATGTGATATGATGATGATGATGGAGATGATGATGATTGATGATGGATGATGATGATGATGTGTGATGATGATGATGTGATGTGTGATGATGATGATGATGATGATGATGATGATGATGATGATGATGATGATGATGATGAATGATGATGATGATGATGATGATGATTTGATGATGATGATATTGATAATATCAATAATATAATAATAATATAATAATAATAATAATAATAATAATAATAATAATAATAATAATAATGATAATAATAATAATAATAATAATAATAATAATAATAATAATAATAATGATATTAATAATAATAATAATAATAATAACGCCTAATAATAATAATAATAATAATAATAATAATAATATAATATAATTAATAATAATAATAATAATAATAATATAATAATATAATAAATGATAATAATAATAATAATAATAATAATGATAAAGAAGATAATAATAATAATAAATAAGATAATAATAAGATAGATAATAATAATGAAATAATAATAATAATAAAATAATAAAATAATGAAATAATAATAATAATAATAATAATAATAATAATAATAATAATAATAATAATAATAATAATAATAATAATAATAATAAATAATAAAATAAATAAATAAAAATAATAAATAATAATAATAATAATGAATGATAATAATAATAATAATAATAATAATAATAATAATAATAATAATAATAATAATAATAATAATAATAATAATAATAATAATAATAATAATAATAATAATAATAATAATAATAATGATAATAATAATAATAATAATAATAATAATGATAATAATAATAATAATAATAATGATAATAATAATAATAATAATGATGATGATGATGATGATGATGACGAGAGTAGTAAACAGACAGACAGACAGACAAACACAGGTAGGTTGGTCCCCCTTATCGAGTTGCCGCCTTACAGTATCTATGTGATAAGATCTACAGGGGTGGAGGGACCGCTTCCTTGGTGGCCGGCAGCCTGATAAGAAAGTGTCCACCTCTATGTTGTGTGTGTGTGTGTGTGTGTGTGTGTGTGTGTGTGTGTGTGTGTGGCCACGACTCATCTGCTGCTATACAACCTCTCTCTCTCTCTCTCTCTCTCTCTTTCTCTCTCTCTCTATTACCGTCTATCACTTCTTTTCCTCCCACGAGCATTTACTCTCTCTGTCTGTCAGTCTCTGTCCCTTTACCTCTCTGTCTGTTTGTCTGTCTTTGTCTTTCTATCTGTCTACTACTCTGTCTGTGTGTCTGTCTGTCTGTCTCTGTCTCTCTAACT